TAAGGCATGTGATTTCAAATTTTGAAGGAAAACTGTAAATAACTTCAAAAAGAAAACGAAAAATTTGTTTTTGGTGTCGGTCGGTGTCGGTCGTTTTAGAACTTAATATAATAAGAAGGATATGAGGGAAATTGAATATCGCCATAACTTTGTGAAAAAAAATTTTTTTTAGCTGAGATTTAAAATAGTGACGTATTTTATGTTTTATTATCGGAAAAAAATAAAAAATTGCAAAAAATCGCGCAAAAAAAATTTGGCATTTTTTTTTTAATAGAAATGCATGTAAGGCATGTGATTTCAAATTTTGAAGGAAAACTGTAAATAACTTCAAAAAGAAAACGAAAAATTTGTTTTTGGTGTCGGTCGGTGTCGGTCGTTTTAGAACTTAATATAATAAGAAGGATATGAGGGAAATTGAATATCGCCATAACTTTGTGAAAAAAAATTTTTTTTAGCTGAGATTTAAAATAGTGACGTATTTTATGTTTTATTATCGGAAAAAAATAAAAAATTGCAAAAAATCGCGCAAAAAAAATTTGGCATTTTTTTTTTAATAGAAATGCATGTAAGGCATGTGATTTCAAATTTTGAAGGAAAACTGTAAATAACTTCAAAAAGAAAACGAAAAATTTGTTTTTGGTGTCGGTCGGTGTCGGTCGTTTTAGAACTTAATATAATAAGAAGGATATGAGGGAAATTGAATATCGCCATAACTTTGTGAAAAAAAATTTTTTTTAGCTGAGATTTAAAATAGTGACGTATTTTATGTTTTATTATCGGAAAAAAATAAAAAATTGCAAAAAATCGCGCAAAAAAAATTTGGCATTTTTTTTTTAATAGAAATGCATGTAAGGCATGTGATTTCAAATTTTGAAGGAAAACTGTAAATAACTTCAAAAAGAAAACGAAAAATTTGTTTTTGGTGTCGGTCGGTGTCGGTCGTTTTAGAACTTAATATAATAAGAAGGATATGAGGGAAATTGAATATCGCCATAACTTTGTGAAAAAAAATTTTTTTTAGCTGAGATTTAAAATAGTGACGTATTTTATGTTTTATTATCGGAAAAAAATAAAAAATTGCAAAAAATCGCGCAAAAAAAATTTGGCATTTTTTTTTTAATAGAAATGCATGTAAGGCATGTGATTTCAAATTTTGAAGGAAAACTGTAAATAACTTCAAAAAGAAAACGAAAAATTTGTTTTTGGTGTCGGTCGGTGTCGGTCGTTTTAGAACTTAATATAATAAGAAGGATATGAGGGAAATTGAATATCGCCATAACTTTGTGAAAAAAAATTTTTTTTAGCTGAGATTTAAAATAGTGACGTATTTTATGTTTTATTATCGGAAAAAAATAAAAAATTGCAAAAAATCGCGCAAAAAAAATTTGGCATTTTTTTTTTAATAGAAATGCATGTAAGGCATGTGATTTCAAATTTTGAAGGAAAACTGTAAATAACTTCAAAAAGAAAACGAAAAATTTGTTTTTGGTGTCGGTCGGTGTCGGTCGTTTTAGAACTTAATATAATAAGAAGGATATGAGGGAAATTGAATATCGCCATAACTTTGTGAAAAAAAATTTTTTTTAGCTGAGATTTAAAATAGTGACGTATTTTATGTTTTATTATCGGAAAAAAATAAAAAATTGCAAAAAATCGCGCAAAAAAAATTTGGCATTTTTTTTTTAATAGAAATGCATGTAAGGCATGTGATTTCAAATTTTGAAGGAAAACTGTAAATAACTTCAAAAAGAAAACGAAAAATTTGTTTTTGGTGTCGGTCGGTGTCGGTCGTTTTAGAACTTAATATAATAAGAAGGATATGAGGGAAATTGAATATCGCCATAACTTTGTGAAAAAAAATTTTTTTTAGCTGAGATTTAAAATAGTGACGTATTTTATGTTTTATTATCGGAAAAAAATAAAAAATTGCAAAAAATCGCGCAAAAAAAATTTGGCATTTTTTTTTTAATAGAAATGCATGTAAGGCATGTGATTTCAAATTTTGAAGGAAAACTGTAAATAACTTCAAAAAGAAAACGAAAAATTTGTTTTTGGTGTCGGTCGGTGTCGGTCGTTTTAGAACTTAATATAATAAGAAGGATATGAGGGAAATTGAATATCGCCATAACTTTGTGAAAAAAAATTTTTTTTAGCTGAGATTTAAAATAGTGACGTATTTTATGTTTTATTATCGGAAAAAAATAAAAAATTGCAAAAAATCGCGCAAAAAAAATTTGGCATTTTTTTTTTAATAGAAATGCATGTAAGGCATGTGATTTCAAATTTTGAAGGAAAACTGTAAATAACTTCAAAAAGAAAACGAAAAATTTGTTTTTGGTGTCGGTCGGTGTCGGTCGTTTTAGAACTTAATATAATAAGAAGGATATGAGGGAAATTGAATATCGCCATAACTTTGTGAAAAAAAATTTTTTTTAGCTGAGATTTAAAATAGTGACGTATTTTATGTTTTATTATCGGAAAAAAATAAAAAATTGCAAAAAATCGCGCAAAAAAAATTTGGCATTTTTTTTTTAATAGAAATGCATGTAAGGCATGTGATTTCAAATTTTGAAGGAAAACTGTAAATAACTTCAAAAAGAAAACGAAAAATTTGTTTTTGGTGTCGGTCGGTGTCGGTCGTTTTAGAACTTAATATAATAAGAAGGATATGAGGGAAATTGAATATCGCCATAACTTTGTGAAAAAAAATTTTTTTTAGCTGAGATTTAAAATAGTGACGTATTTTATGTTTTATTATCGGAAAAAAATAAAAAATTGCAAAAAATCGCGCAAAAAAAATTTGGCATTTTTTTTTTAATAGAAATGCATGTAAGGCATGTGATTTCAAATTTTGAAGGAAAACTGTAAATAACTTCAAAAAGAAAACGAAAAATTTGTTTTTGGTGTCGGTCGGTGTCGGTCGTTTTAGAACTTAATATAATAAGAAGGATATGAGGGAAATTGAATATCGCCATAACTTTGTGAAAAAAAATTTTTTTTAGCTGAGATTTAAAATAGTGACGTATTTTATGTTTTATTATCGGAAAAAAATAAAAAATTGCAAAAAATCGCGCAAAAAAAATTTGGCATTTTTTTTTTAATAGAAATGCATGTAAGGCATGTGATTTCAAATTTTGAAGGAAAACTGTAAATAACTTCAAAAAGAAAACGAAAAATTTGTTTTTGGTGTCGGTCGGTGTCGGTCGTTTTAGAACTTAATATAATAAGAAGGATATGAGGGAAATTGAATATCGCCATAACTTTGTGAAAAAAAATTTTTTTTAGCTGAGATTTAAAATAGTGACGTATTTTATGTTTTATTATCGGAAAAAAATAAAAAATTGCAAAAAATCGCGCAAAAAAAATTTGGCATTTTTTTTTTAATAGAAATGCATGTAAGGCATGTGATTTCAAATTTTGAAGGAAAACTGTAAATAACTTCAAAAAGAAAACGAAAAATTTGTTTTTGGTGTCGGTCGGTGTCGGTCGTTTTAGAACTTAATATAATAAGAAGGATATGAGGGAAATTGAATATCGCCATAACTTTGTGAAAAAAAATTTTTTTTAGCTGAGATTTAAAATAGTGACGTATTTTATGTTTTATTATCGGAAAAAAATAAAAAATTGCAAAAAATCGCGCAAAAAAAATTTGGCATTTTTTTTTTAATAGAAATGCATGTAAGGCATGTGATTTCAAATTTTGAAGGAAAACTGTAAATAACTTCAAAAAGAAAACGAAAAATTTGTTTTTGGTGTCGGTCGGTGTCGGTCGTTTTAGAACTTAATATAATAAGAAGGATATGAGGGAAATTGAATATCGCCATAACTTTGTGAAAAAAATTTTTTTTAGCTGAGATTTAAAATAGTGACGTATTTTATGTTTTTTTATCGGAAAAAAATAAAAAATTGCAAAAAATCGCGCAAAAAAAATTTGGTATTTTTTTTTTAATAGAAATGCATGTAAGGCATGTGATTTCAAATTTTGAAGGAAAACTGTAAATAACTTCAAAAAGAAAACGAAAAATTTGTTTTTGGTGTCGGTCGGTGTCGGTCGTTTTAGAACTTAATATAATAAGAAGGATATGAGGGAAATTGAATATCGCCATAACTTTGTGAAAAAAATTTTTTTTAGCTCAGATTTAAAATAGTGACGTATTTTATGTTTTATTATCGGAAAAAAATAAAAAATTGCAAAAAATCGCGCAAAAAAAATTTGGCATTTTTTTTTTAATAGAAATGCATGTAAGGCATGTGATTTCAAATTTTGAAGAAAAACTGTAAATAACTTCAAAAAGAAAACGAAAAATTTGTTTTTGGTGTCGGTCGGTGTCGGTCGTTTTTGAACTTAATATAATAAGAAGGATATGAGGGAAATTGAATATCGCCATAACTTTGTGAAAAAAAATTTTTTTTAGCTGAGATTTAAAATAGTGACGTATTTTATGTTTTATTATCGGAAAAAAATAAAAAATTGCAAAAAATTGCAAAAAATCGCGCAAAAAAAATTTGGCATTTTTTTTTTAATAGACATGTATGTAAGGCATGTGATTTCAAATTTTGAAGGAAAACTGTAAATAACTTCAAAAAGAAAACGAAAAATTTGTTTTTGGTGTCGGTCGGTGTCGGTCGTTTTAAAACTTAATATAATAAGAAGGATATGAGGGAAATTGAATATCGCCATAACTTTGTGAAAAAAATTTTTTTTTAGCTGAGATTTAAAATAGTGACGTATTTTATGTTTTATTATCGGAAAAAAATAAAAAATTGCAAAAAATCGCGCAAAAAAAATTTGGCATTTTTTTTTTAATAGAAATGCATGTAAGGCATGTGATTTCAAATTTTGAAGGAAAACTGTAAATAACTTCAAAAAGAAAACGAAAAATTTGTTTTTGGTGTCGGTCGGTGTCGGTCGTTTTAGAACTTAATATAATAAGAAGGATTCTTTTCATGAAAATAGCACGAAAATAATTGTACAGCTGAACTGATCAGGTACCTCGCGCACATTTCCATTCATTATTAATTATTTAATGCTTTATTAATTACAAATTTTGTACGAATTTACTCTATAAACATTCATTTACCCTTTTATCAACTTTTTTTTATCATAATAAGTCGATTAATAGCTTTTCTATACGTTTTTTTACATGTTTACCTAATGTCTACCTAAAGTCCACTTAGTTAAGTAGACATTACGCAAATCGAATCCGCCAGGGACCAGTCGATGAAATTATTATAGGCCGAGTTGATGTACCAGTAGTTGTACCTTGTAGTGAGTTTTTTTCATAAATTTTTTTGATTTTCCAAATTTCTCGTTTACACTATTCAAAAATTTTTTTTTTCCACATAGTACCAATCGATGAAGATATTCTACCTAGAGTTAATGTGCCAGTAGCTGGACCTGTTGGTAAATATTTAGATTACTATTTCACTTATCATTTAAAATTTACCTTATTTTCATATATATTGCAGAATATGTCTTTATTATTTCATTGAATGATTTTTTCTTTATCTTATTTAATTTTTTACATCTTTAAAGTTTTAAAAAATTCAAAGTGAATAAAAAAGTTAATCACTTTGATAAAGTTTTAAATAATAATTTTAAAAAATTTAAGGAAGTTCTCCCCCTCCAACGTTAGTCAAATCAATGCCCATTTAAGTTTTCATTTGTATCACGTAGTACTAGCTCAACGCTTGGCAACGTTGGATTATATTTCCCCCGTTCCGTTTCGTGTCGTCTGCTATTGTTTGATTTATTTTCGTTAAATAATAATAATAATGATTTATTATTTTAAAAATCTTAATTTTTTATAAGCAACTTCAAATTATTATTCATTATTACGAATCTTTGAAGAATATACTATTATATGTATATACTACTTATATTACTTTCAAATTTCGCGCTGTTTCTATACCTAACCTACAAGACGCAACGTTGCCAAGCGTTGTGCTAAGTAATTTCTGATTGTCAAAATACGGTGTTTTTTTAGACAAAATAATTAATTGTGAGTCTCCTAAGCCAGGTCTGATCAATTTTATTAAAAGTAAGTGAACATTGGCTATTAAACTTTATGTATATAAAGTTCTAGTAATATCTTTTCGTCAGATTTTTCACAATTTGAGATTTCAAACCAAAAAATTCAATTTCCCATAAAAATCCGTGTTAAATGTGAAAAGAGAAAATTATTTATATCTTTTGTCAAAATCCACCTAGACCTCTAAAAATTTAACTACATCTTCTTTAAACAATTATCTATCAGTTTATCAAGTTTGATAATTAACTCTTCGTCATTTCTGTTTGCGAGAGAACTTCCTTAAATTAGTATACATTTTTTTATACATTTCTGACGATAAATGAGTTTTTTTAGAATTTATCAATGAATTTTTTTTAAATTGAATTTTATTGGATTTTTAATTACAGTTTTTGACACTAATGAAAGTTTCGAGAATTTTCATTTAGCAAATTTGAAAATTGCAATATCACTCAATAAGAATTGGTCTTTATAAACAAAATCTTTTTCAAAATAGAGACAGAAATATTAGTGTAGTGTAGGAATAAATCTATTCATTTTTCATGTTTTTTTCAATTTTTTTTTCAACATATGGGCATATGTTTAGAACTTTTAAACTTTGAGATATTAGAAAAATTAATTTTTTTTCAGGGCACATTTGTGAAACAAATTTTATTGTCTTCAGTATTGATCAAATGCTGTAAAAAAATTTGCGTAACTCATTTTTACACATTGTTACGCAGCACAGTGGGCCTTATTGCAAAAAACCTGCCCAAAATCTCTAGATGTGTTTAAAACTGACTGAAATTTGTTACTCGCGGATTTTTTTGGTCTGATTACAAATCCGACCCCCGATAACCCCCGAGTAACAAATTTTAGGCCAATTGGATCAATTTTTTTAAAAGTCATCCGCCATATTGGATCCGCCATTTTGAAAAACAAAGTTCAGATTCATAATCAGCGACCCCAAAAACCCCCGAGTAACAAATTTGAGGCAAATGGGATCACTTTTTTAAAAAGTCGTCTGCCATATTGGATTTACCATTTTGAATTTTGGAAAATTTTAAATTCAGATTATTAGTCGCAGCTACCCCAAAAATCTTCGAGTGAGAAATATCAGCCAGATTTAAACACATCTATTAGTTAATACTTACTTTTCTTCACAAACTATGCGTCAGACAGTTTAGGTTTATATTCATTATTAATTATACAGTTTTAATGAAGTGTGCAAAGGTTAACGATTTTTCTGTATACTTTTATTATGCATGAGAAGAGACTACAATGAGTTGGAAGCATTTAGAAGCAAAATTCAACATGTGCTTTTCAAATATGTGGATTTTTGATATGAGTTACGTTTTAAAATTTAATGTTTGAAGTCATTGCATTGTTTGTGTAAAGGAGGCACACATTCCTGTATGGGTTCAAATTACTTCTTTTTAGGTAGATAATATAATCCCGTTGTGCCGTTACTCAAAAACCTTCGTTAAAAAAGTTATATCAGTTTAACTGCTGACTTGTAGAAATTTTGAAAAAGTTGTCTCGCAAGTTTGAAGCTACATAGTTTTTATTCAATTTGAGGCACATCATTGTTTCATGGATTTTTTAGTTCTTTACACTCCCACCTACTTCTATTGCAAGCCACAAGACACACAATGTTTCGTTAAAAAAGTTACAGTCTATAAACTAAAAAAAACAGTCAATATCACACACTAGAAATTGTCGATTTCACCACTTTAACTTAAGTTCGTCATTTCCTACATAATTAAAAAAATTATATAACGCATGATACATTTTAAAAGCCCTATAATTGGTCAAATTATGGTATTGAAAAATTATTAAAAAAATTCTTAAGGTATCATAATGAGCGATAACATAAAGGTTAAAAGTTCTAGAGATATGCCTATATATATAGGCTGGGACTAGTTTTGTGATATGTTAGATTACATTTAGAACACATAAATTTAAAGTGTTTAATAATATTTAAAATATTAAAATAATATAAAATAAAAATTGTTTAAAATAAATAAATTATCTGGGAAATTTAAATATTGCTAATACTTTTTTATACAACTTATATAAGATTTTTTCACAAATTGTCATTTAGAAAAAGTTTTTAATATATTTGCTGCGCAGTCTCGAAATGAAGTTTTTAATTTTGCTTTTTTTTAGTTTATCAATGTCGTAGAGAAAAACTATTTAGTGAACATAATACTTATTAAAATATGAAACCTACGAGTAAAGTAATTTTACATTCCAATAAAACGGTTAGGAAATATTATTATAAACCTGAAATCACTTTACACCTTTCTTTTTTAACTATTTTGCTAAATTTCGATACATTTTTGCAATTAATATATATTATATATTTATATTAATGTTCCTATTTTAGGAGTAAAATCTTTAATCCATCGAATTTTTGTTTTCAATCAATTCAAAATTCAAAAATTTCGTTATCAATGAAACATTAAATTATTATGTATTCAATGAAATATTCAATTTTTTCATCCTTCTCTTCCCTTTTCTCTTTTTCTATAATATTCTCACCTGTATCATATTCTTTAAATAATTTACTTTGGTATTCAAACACTTTGTTTATTTTTTCTCTCTGTCTTCTCTTTTTCTTCTTTCCTCTACTTCTTTCTTTTCTTTTTCTAATGTTGTTTTTCTTTCTTTGTCCTCCTCGTTTTTTCTTCATTATCCTTCATTTCCTTACTATTAAAACATCTTGTTTTTCTCTCATGATGAATCTCTATCATTTTATCTTCTTTATTTCGATACTCTGGATCCCTTTCATTTTTTGGCGGTCTACCTCGGTTTTTTTATACCACTGGAAAAGACATGTATTTATTTATTTAGAATATATCAGTATTTAACTTTTACGTATTATGCTGTATTTAAATTTGATTAAATATTATAATAATAAATTGAAATGTATCTTAATATTGAAATAGTAAATTTTTTCAGCAGTATCAAAAAGAAAAAAGAACGGACCTCCGATAAATGCTAGGTATTCGATTTATTTACTAAAATATTAACAGAAAGATAGCAATTAAAACGAGGGGAAAAATATCAATTAATAGAAAGAAAATGAAGAAGGAAAAAGAAAAAAACAAAAGAGAAAAACAGAATAAAAGTGTAAACAGAAAAGAAAACGAGAATGGAAAAAGGAAGAGAGGTTAAAACTGCAGCAAAAAAGATAACTAAGATCAAAAGAGAAATAAAGAATATGCAATAAAGAATTGCAATGAAAAAAACCGTATTTTTACTTTTTGATACTGATGAAAAATTTAATATTCAATGTAAAAATAATAAAATTAACTTATTAGTTTTTAAAAAAAATTATTTTTTCTAATATGTATGATTAAAAATAATTTTAAATACTAATAACAATTTTTTTAGTATCATATTTCTAAAATAAAATTGAAAGAAATTGAAAATGACGTTTTATAAATATTACTTTTAAAGAAAAGATATTGTGTTATTACAGATATAAATATAAATAAAGTATCAATAAAATTTCAAAAATAAAACAATATAAATAAAAAAAATTAAAATTTATTTTTATATTATTATTATAAATTATTAAGAATTTATAAATAATAATAAAAGGAAATAAATAAAATATCAAGAAAAAATCATTCAAACGGATTCGAAATTTTAGACCAACAGCGTTGGTATACATAACCTTAAATCTGACGCACAATTTTACATACTTGGAATGAAAAAAATGGTTTTTATTCTGTTTGCATGTAGAGAAAGTATAATACTAATTTAATAAAACAAAAATTACTTACATTTATTTTTTCTTATTGTCTTGGAGTTTCTAACAATTTATCCACGCTTTTGAGAAAGACAAAGAGGCATTTCTTCTTCTGTTGTTTTTATGGCCTCTTGTATTAATAAATAGCCAGTACTAAATGTAGAAAATTATTGGTTGTTGAAGATTTTTCCAGTTTTGTTTTTTTTCAGCTTCTTTCACAGGTCTAGATTGTTTGTATCCGTTGTTCCTATTTGACTGTCGATATTTGTCCACCTCAGCACAGTAGTTGCAAAGGGAGGTTAGAGTAGAAGTACTTCAGGAGCGTAACATTAACATTTGACTTTAATCAGTTCAGGGATTTGAGTTATTATAAAACATTTGTATATCATTAAAAATGTATTTAATTGTTTTGTTTAACTAATGATACTTGTTATAATTTGTATTATACATATTATGAGAGCTTCTAATTTAATTTATTCTTTTTTATTTAACTTTATTTTATTTCTATTACATTTTTATGTATTTATTTATTTTATTTATTTTTAATTTTTTTTTTATTTATTTTTTTTTTTTTATTTTAAATTATCAAATTTCCCTTCTTGAAAAATTTTCCAATTTCCAATGCAAAAGTCTTGCTTGGGTTAAAGATCAATTGATCTAGGTTAATATTGTCTCGGACGAAGTTTTCAAATTTGGAAGCCAAATAGGAGAAAAACATTGGTCTCCCTTCTGACAGAAGGGGACATGAAGATAATAAATTCTTCGGAAATGTTCTCCAGTAATTATGTGTGATGTTCTTAATCTTGTGATTATGTTGATGTATCGTCTCGGCAGGTCAGCATTACCAAACCACGGTCTGGGAGCTTTGGTATTAATTTTATTGAAATATTTATTAGTTAAAGGTTTATTTAAAAAGGGCCATAAGGATGTGGACCAGTATTTAAAATCATTTTCAATAATAGGATAGAAATCAGAGAAAGGAGTGCCAGCCGAATTTCCTAAGGGAAGGCTGTGAGCTTTTTTTAATAGGGCATCGGCCTTTCCATTGCCTGGTATCCCTACATGCGCTGGTACCCATAAAAACTCAATTTGATATCCCTCTTTAATTAATCCTAAATGTATTGTAATAATTTTATAGATTAAATAGTGGGGTTTTATTTCTGTCAGTCTATTTGCTATTTTTTCCACTGAACTTTTAGAGTCAGTGATAATTAGAAACTTACTTCTCTCTAGGATTGTTACGTGTTTTAAGGCAGAATAGATCGCGTACAACTCGCAAGTTTCTGTTGACATAGTTCCACTAAGCTTCACTCCCAGTTCTATTGTAGGTAATGGGAAATAATAACTGGAACTCGAGGAATTTTTATTTGGGTCATAGCATGCGTCAGTGTAGATTTGGGTAAAATTTAAGTATTTTTCATTTATGAGCTTGCTAAATTCATTTTTTGGATCCTTTGATCCTTTAATTGTTAATTCTGAATCAGAATCTCTTTTCACTTCATATGTCAACTCTTTCCAGTTGTAATCGAAATAGGATGGTCTTTTTGATCTACCACACTTGTTAATCATCGTTCTAACCACTCCATACTCATTTAGAAGGGATGATTTCATTTTTACAACGTTCCGGAAGTCATTTCGAGGCCCTGCAATTCTTTCATATATGAGTTGCAATTTTGGTATCAAAGGATTTGTTGACCACGACATATTCCCAATCAAAAACCTCCTGGTCAATTTGGCTCGCCGTAGATAAAGTGGCGTTTCATTTGATTCTGAAAGAAGAATTGCAATCGGTGTCGACTTCATGCATCCCAGAATTATGCGAAGGGCTGCCGACTGCACTCTATCCAAAATTCTTAGATTAGATACACTGGCTAACGAAAATAATTGAGCACCCCATTCGAGGTGTGCTCTAATTGGACCTTTATCAATACTAAGTTAAATAATAAAGGGGAGAGAACTCCACCTTGATGAACTCCTATTCCAGTTGGTCTGAACTCCTCACAGTTCGATTTAAAGTAGAGGTTTCTACACTCGGAAAAAAATGAGATAAAGTTGACAATTCTAGAAGGTGCATTGATTTCAATTAGGTGTTCAAAGATTGCAAAAGGCAGGACATTACTAAATGCACCTTTAAGGTCTAGAGCTAAGGCAACAGTGTATTCCCCTTTGGCAAAGCTGTTCATTATATCCGCGGTGAAAGTTACAACACAATCCGTTGAGGTTTTAAAAATTTGGGATTCTGGGTCATTACAGATACCTGTTCTTAATGGGTGAAATCCTGTAGAAAAAGCTCTAATTTTAGATCAAATTTTAAGCAAACCCATAGATGGTTCAATAGACCCGCAAAACTCTTTAAATGAGTTGCTTTTTTTATTGCGTAAGAACCACTTAACTTGGTTATCTATATTTCGAAACTCCTCCCTTTTTTGGTCAATCTGATTATTAAGGAACTTTTTCCTAGCGTCTCTTCTACGTATTAATTCTCTATCACACTCTTCGTCCCACCAGAGTGGTTGAGACTTTTTTTTGCCTGGCAATCCGGAGGGAATAAATGCACCTGAATCCAGTAATAATTTTTTAATATGTTCTAAAAAATCATTATAAACATTTACTGAATCTTCATTTCTATCAAGTCTCTCACTGAATTTTTCTACTTCCTTACATACTTCCTCACTATAAATCAACCAATCTACATTTTTGATATTATAACGATTTGTACTAGATTTAACAAATTTCGGAGATCTATCGCACTCAGCTTTAACCAAATAATGATCTGACGCGTAGGAGTTAGAAGTGACTTCAACTATAGTACATTGCACCAAATTGGACGAAACAAATATTAAATCTAAATTATTTTGAGCTCTGCCTGAGTCGTCGGCAGAGGTTGGGAGACTATCATTTAATGGAATTAAGTCGCTTTCCTCGGCTAAATCTGTTAAGTGGAGACCTCTATTATTATTAAAAGAATTTCCCTATAACCAAGAGTGGGCATTAAAGTCGCCCATTAGGACAATTGGGTCTGTTGTTTTCCCACAGTTAATCAGATTTGTCCAAGTTCTCTCTGGGACATCTATCTTAATGCTAACTCCCCTTTCAATTTGAATTGGATTGATAATAAACTTAGATCTATCTAACAAAAGAGTTCCACCACCAATTTCACGTATACTACCATGAATTTTTCTATCACATCTGAAGGTATTATAGCCTGGAATTTGACATACGTTTGTGCGCGAAGATAGCAAGGTTTCAGTAATTGATAGATGTCTAAATCATGCTGATGCAAGAGGGATTCTACCTCTGCTTTCTTCTGGATAACACTACGTGCATTCCAGGTACCGTATCTAATACTTTGAGTTTGAGATCAAGACATCACATATTTAATATTAAAATGAAAATTAAATAAAAACCAACTAAAACCATTACTTAAATCTAAAACATATAAACAATTAATTAATTTATATTTATTTAATACTTTATAAAGGCCTTTCTAAAATTTATACTAATAATTCCAATAAATAAACAGATTTTGTTATTTAACAAGTCAAAGATTGTTACTCTATGCTATATTGAATTTGATTAGAATTTAATTTATTTATTTTATTTAGTTGTAACTTAGAGAGGATCCTCAATCGCTTAATAAAATTTTAGAAATATAGCCGAATTAGACCTAATTGCGTAATTCTAGAAATTAATAGACTTAAACCACTAATCCTCTTATTTATTTGTGGTAGGAGAGAGATTATCTCTCAAAGCATTAACAAATTTTGATTTCAATTGCCTAAGATCATTTAACCTGTCATCCAAATCAGAAGCCATGGACAAGTCAACTTCCGTCCCTAAATCAGTTTTATCTGCATTGTTGGATTCTCTAGGGGATGAGGTCGCTCTATCTTCAGGAGAGGGGTGTAGAGGAAGGGTATCATCTTCTCTTATCTGAACATTTTTAAACAGATCAGGATTTTCCAACAGTATCATATCTCTGGCCTCTTGTCTAGAAAAATTGTATAGAGTTCGAAGTTTTAAAATTTTAAATTCAGATTTAAAAATAGGACACTGCAAGGAAGAAGCTGGGTGAGAACCTTTGCAATTTTTACATAAAGCCTGTTGGATCTGATTTAAACAATAGTTAGTTAGATGTCTACCAGCACAAAATTAACAGAATGGGTAAGTGGATCTGCATTGGGTGGCCACATAGCAGAATCTTTGACAGCGATAACAACGACGTGGCTTAAAAACCACTGGAATTAGTTTTATGATACAGCCTCCCATTTTAATATTTTTAGGGATAGTTGGTAAATCAAATGTAAATTCTACTCGGTCTGTGTTTAAACCTCTAGGATTAACTATTCTTGTGATACTAATAATATCTTTGGCCTCCTCTAGACTAAATTTTTCTGATATATCTTCAATTGATCAAGTGGGTGGGTAATCCGTTGTAAACCCTTTTTTCCTAAGAAAAGATTTCGGTATGAAAAGTTGGTATCCTGCTATTAGTAGATCTCCACACAATATCAGTCGATTTGCGCTTTCACAATCCTGGCATTCAATTTTTAACTGATTAATCCCGTTTCTAGAAATTAATTTTTCTCCTGTTATTAATGGAGACAAAAGATCAACTACACTAATTGGGTCCATTTTGCCCACATTTCTGTTGGGGATTATACTTTCCATTAATACAGTGCATGGAACTGAACTCGTTTTACGGTATAATAATTGAGTATCCTGGATGTTGGGATTTTTCCAAAAGCGAGACTTATCAAGTGTTGATTGGTTTGAATTAATGGTTTGTTTTGTTGTGGGATTAATTGAAGGACAAGGTAAGGCTGAAGATGAGGTAGTTGGAGTTTGTGAATCAACAGATGTATTTCTAGGTATATTGATTGAAGCAAGGGCTTCCTCAGACGCCTTTAATAATTGTTCAAGGTCGCGATCACTAGCTGTGTTTACTTTTTTCGATCTATGAGTAACTGAGGGTGAAATTCTTTGAGATGAATTGGCTCGATCTTGTTAATCAGGAGTAAAGGAATCTCTCACTCGTTTCCGAGTATCTATTTCAGAATCAAATTGTATTGGGATGAGCAAGTTATGATCAGGGACAGGAAGGTTTTGGTAATTTCCTGTGAGGAGATCATTTTTGCTTCGAGACGACCCATCAACATTCTGGTTCGACATTGTGAGTTTGTTCCAGTTTCATGATCCGTTTATTTGTTCAACGAGTCTGGACTTTCCCTCTGGACACGGTAACAGGAATTTCACCTGAAAAAATTAACTCATAGAGCATATGCCAAGTAATACTTACAAATATCAAAATTTAATTATAAATTATTTACTTTGAATTATATTAAAATTTGAATTTTATTTAAGTCAAATATTATTTTATTATAATATACTAGAAAGCTTCCAAATTTACACTTCTTTATATTATCTACGAGTTTAGTGAGTTACAATCAATAATATGCATCAGCAATCAACATCTCAATAACAGAAAACTTTTCAATAGGGCCTATCAAAACACTATTATAAGTTTGTATCAAAGCAAGGTCAAATTCGGCCGTCAGGATATTCAGGCCAGCAAAATCATTATAATATTTCAAAAATTACTTATCAAAGAAAAAACTACTCATATCCCCGATTACAATTTTTAATTTTAAGTTTTGGTGGAATTACTAAGAAAATTGGATAATACCAATTATCTGTCTACCATAGACAGTATGATGCATAAGCGTGCCAGCTTAAGTTCAAGCTCGAGATGCAGAGAAAGCCAATAATTGAAACAATTGTTACCTGGATAGTTTTGTCGGATTCGGTTTCAAACCTCTTTTATTTCAGCTTTGTGTAAGGTGTAATTTGAGGTTTTATTTCCACGTGCTCTAATTTTAGAAATCAATCCAAGTTCAAACCTCCTTTAAGGCCACTCTCCATTTAAGTAGCACTTCAATAGTTGTTGTAAAAATGGTAGATTTAGTTTTGATAAAACAAATTAAACACAGTACAATTAACTATACTTACAAAATTTTACAAAATTAATCATTTAAAACATTATTTAAACATTGGACGTGAAATTACGTCAGTACTACTCGACTAACTTAACTTAAATCCGACAAAGAGGCATATAATGAGGATACATAAAAGGCCAGATCGTGATGAAACGCAACTGCGCTTGCGCTACTGTTAATCACAAATTTAAAGAAATAGGAGCTCTTATTTTAAATGCAGCAATCACGGAGGAATAGTAAGGAGACCGATCTCTGCGTTTAAAAATGTCAGAAAAACATGTACGATAAGTGTTCAGTGTTTATTTCAGAAATTTTATTTACCATTGCGATATTGTACCTCCAAAATCATGTGTAAGTATATAATAATGTATGCTATTGGAATATTTAAAGTGTCAATAAATTGAAGTAATTACACAGGCACACAAAAAATAAAAAGCTGTTTGGCCAAAACACTACACTAGTCTATTTCCATGTATTTTTCACGCTAAATCCGAATCCGAAGTCAGAATTATCAGATTGGCTTTTATTTTTGAGATAAACTTAAAAAACTGTTCAGAAAGAAAAATAAAATCAAAAACTTAAAAAAATTTTGAATGTCACTGCGATAGTGTAATTCCATGTATTTTTTGTCGCTGAATCCGAATCTAGAGTCAGAATTGAGTAGCTGCCTGCAATAACTCGCCGAGCGCTTGGCCGATCGCTCTAACGCCAGTCAAACGTTCAAAAACGTGAAAAAAATGAAAAATCAAAATTTTAATTTTTGAAAAGTGCAATCTTGTAGGATATAAGATGGCGCATCTTTTTTTCCTTTGAGTTTTTTTTGTAGATCAAAAAATAGAGTTAATATATGCAAAACACTTAAAAATTTTATTTCACAAATTTCATTCAATTTTTAAACATAAATCATAGTATCTTTGACAAATTTCAATGAATCTTATTGAAAATTAATATACATACGTATTTAGGTCCATAGAAGACGACAACATAATCAAAAATATTAAAATCAGCAATTGTTTATTTATAATTAATTGTAAATGAATACTTGACTATAATAATGTTTACTTTCCTTTGTCGACATAAAGTGTGTGGGGAACTTCAGAGTTGAAGAAACTTCCAGTGAGACATTTGTTTATCATAATGTAAGGAAGTTTTTTGTAAAATTGAAAAACAATTTATCAACAACTTTAGAAAATATAGAACGTTTAAGAAAACATGCGCGACGCGCTAGCGAGTCTCCGCGCGGAGAATTGCAAACAAGAGTTGTAGAGGACCGAAAATACAGAAACAAATATTGTCACTACATTCTTAGAAATGTTTTTCAAATAAAATATGTGTTAATTTTATGAAAATGCAAATTAAATTTGAACAACTGTTTTTTTAATATTTACTAAATAATCAATAGTTTTAAAATATTTTGGTGCTTGTATGTACTGTTTGTGCAGTTTGCAAATAAGTTTTTTAATAATTAATATTAAGGTATATCTTTATTTTCTGTTTCTTCATTTTTTTAAGAAATTAGTGTATTGTTACATATCAACAGTGATAGTATGTTGGCTCCATTTTCAAAACATAATATATCACAACATAACATAACGTCCTTCTTAACTCTTGTGTGCAATTCTCCGCGCGGAGACTCGCTAGCGCGTCGCGCATGTTTTCTTAAACGTTCTATATTTTCTAAAGTTGTTGATAAATTGTTTTTCAATTTTACAAAAAACTTCCTTACATTATGATAACCAAATGTCTCACTGGTAGTTTCTTCAACTCTGAAGTTCCCCACACACTTTACGTCGACAAAGGAAAGTAAACATTATTATAGACAAGTCTTCATTTACAATTAATTATAAGTAAACAATTGCTGATTTCAATATTTTTGATTGTGTTGTCGTCTTCTATGGACCTAAATACGTATGTATATTAATTTTCAATAAGATTCATTGAAATTTGTCAAAGATACTATGATTTATGTTTAAAAATTGAATGAAATTTGTGAAATAAAATTTTTAAGTGTTTTGCATATATTAACTCTATTTTTTGATCTACAAAAAAAACTCAAAGGAAAAAAAGATGCGCCATCTTATGTCCTACAAGATTGCACTTTTCAAAAATTAAAATTTTGATTTTTCATTTTTTTCACGTTTTTGAACGTTTGACTGGCGTTAGAGCGATCGGCCAAGCGCTCAGCGAGTTATTGCAGGCAGCTACTCAATTGTTAGATTCGCTCAAATTTTTGAGATAATTGCAAAAAAACGAAAGTAACAAAAAACTCAAAATACTCAAAATCAGTTTTTTGGAATTATCTTCAAAATTTGAGCCAATCTGTCAATTCTGACTTCGAATTCGGATTCAGCGTGAAAAAATACATAAAAATGCACTATCGTAGTGTTTCGGCAAAAAAAAAATTTCTTTGAGCTAAAATCGCCAAAAACTGATAAAATTTCTGAATTAGGGGCACAGATAATTTTTTTGCCGAAACACTAAGATAGTGCATTTTCATGTATTTTTTCACGCTGAATCCGAATTCGAAATCAGAATTGACAGATTGGCTCAAATTTTGAAGATAATTCCAAAAAACTGATTTTGAGTATTTTGAGTTTTTTGTTACTTGCGTTTTTTTGCAATTATCTCAAAAATTTGAGCGAATCTAACAATTCTGACTTTGGATTCGGATTCAGCGACAAAAAATACATGGAATTACACTATGGCAGTGACATTCAAAAATTTTTTAACTTTTTGATTTTATTTTTCTTTCTAAGCAGTTTTTTGAGTTTATCTCAAAAATAAAAGCCAATCTGCTAATTCCGACATCGGATTCGGATTCAGCGTGAAAAAATACATGAAAATAGACTAGTGTAGTGTCTCGGCCAAACCACATTTTACTTTTTGTGTGCCTGTGTTATTAAAAGAATAATGGAGCCATAGTAATTATAAACATATTATTTATTATGTATGTCATGAAAAAGATTTTTCTTACCAAGAAATTATTAGTTTTCAATTTAATTGTCAAACATTAACACAATAACATATAAGAATAACACATAACCCCTTCATCATAACACGCATGGAAGACTTGAGAAATATACGTCAGCCAGATCTCACTCGCACACTTTTTGCGAGAGAAAGAGACAGCACATGGCTAATGCGCATGCTCAGCTACTTTGGTGGTTGAGTAAAATGCAATGAAACTGGCATTTATCGTACATGTTTTTTTGACATTTTCAGAAGCGCTACTACAGCAAGATCGGTCTCCTTACTATTCCTCCGTGGCAGCAATATAATTAGAAATAGTGAACAAATTTTAAAGTGTTTAATTTATTGATTTATGATTAGTTATTATTTAATGTTTTCTAAGCGAAATAAATTTTTATCAATCATTTTTAGATAAAATAATTTATATACATTATTTTTGTTTAGAAAATATTATACTCACGAAATTATTGTGCGTTTGTCTAAATGGAAGCACACATGCGCACTGTAACTTCTAACCTGTTTGTCACTCTGCACATCTCAACTGTGTTTTGTTTTGAAAAAGGGGCCATCAAATGTTTTTGAAAGGTAAGTTTTTGTTTTTATATATGTTTATTAAATATTTCATTCTTTTATATAAAATTTAATAGGATATTATGATAATTCTGTTAACTACAAATTTTTTTTAATTTTGCATTTTCAGAAGCACTGCACTATTGAAAGGCGTAAAAAACAACAATAAAAACATACAAATTTATATTAAATAAAATTAAGTGCATATAAGGTAGAAATATGCGAACGATTACTTCATTAATTATTTATATTGGTTAATATCAACGATTTGAAACCTACTAGGAGGATTAATTTTGTAAGGTGATCCTTCTCTTTTTCTATTTTTAATAATTGTACAGTATAAAATAATACAATTTTTATTTCATTTTTTATATATTACTGATATATAACATTTTAAGACTAATAACAAATAATAATAACGTTTTTTTCTATAAAATTCTTATTCTTCAAATTTTACGTCTTTAAAAGTAAAATAATGTGTTTCTAATGTTTTCTCTTTTGTAGCGACTGACACAATAATATGCTAAACCGTTTAAACTGAAACTTATATTAAAAACAAAAATAGTGATTTTAAATAACGTTTTTTAAATAAATGTTGTGGATGATATTAATTGAAGTAGTCGAATGAAATATACTTTTTCTGATTTATCAATATTACAAATTACAAACATTAATATAATAATATAAACATTACTTAAATTTAATTTTATATTCTGTGACAACTTATAGCTCTATATAAATTTATATTTCTATGCAGGACAACACATTAATTTTTAAGATGGGATTTCAAAAAATTTAAATTTATTCGGATGAAATTTCATGAAAATGATTTATTATATTTTGAAAAAAGAAATTGACACCCGAAATAGAAGTGCTTATGTTTTAGGAATGACAACAGTACAGCACAGACAATCCGAAAGTTTACAGAAAGGATATATTTGCCAAGTAATATTTTCTTTCTTTTATTTTAAAAATATTTAAACTTAAAATTTTGCTAATAAAGAAGGCTACGTTTAAAAAAATCGAGGGGCTATTCACTGAGATCCAAAAGATCCAGGGACGACGTACTCCTTTTTTTTGTCAATTGTCATCTTTGGTCGTCCCAGGCCGTCTCTTGGATCTCGCATTGATCGCATTGTTTTGTTAATTCGACTTGGCTTCTCGACTTCCTTCAAGACGTATAATTTACAAATGTCGTTTATTGTTTACATTTGTGTAAGGCTAAAATATTTTATTATTTATACTTATAACACAATTATATTAACTTCTAAAACAGTTAAATATTTATATTATTAAAAGTTTTTAGGGAAAAACAAAGTTAATTGCAAGTTGGTTATTTAAATTAAATTTAATTAACATTAAATTCTTTATTTTTTAAGGTTACTTCCATGAAATATTTTTTAATTAAAAATTAAAAAAATGGAACAAAATGATTTAAGAGGCATACGATTCCTAAGTTTTTTTTATCATTTATTACTATTTATCTCTGTATTGTATTATAATAATTAATAATTATAATAAACAAATAATTTTTCAGTTTTTTTCAGTTCATTCAAAATTTCAAATAAATAGTTTAATTAACATAATTTATTGATAAAGTAAAAAATATACCAATAGTTTAAAATTTCCACATTAACTATAATTATATTAATTTCGAGTTAATTTATATTAGTAAAAAAGCAAGTATCAAATAACATAGTAATTAAATAACTCATTTTATAATTAATACTTCAAAGTGAATTTAATGTAATAAACAATAAACTAAATAAATAATCAATTTAAATAAAATCAAGATTATATTTGAATTACAGTGAAAATTAAAAATAAATTTAATTTAATAAATAAAATTCGAACATTTATTTAAAAAAACAATGAATGCATTCGTTTGTTTTCTCTGGGAGGATTTTGCGATTTGACTTGACGTTGCGATTTTTCGTCGTCTCTTGGGATTTTCTTAAATTTTTTTAAAAAAATTGTTCCTTTTTGTATCACATATATTATTTAACATACAACACATATTTTTTAAACATTTGTTTTTATACCAAATAAGTTCGCTTCGAGTACGGAACCCTCGATTTCAGTGCGAGTGTAACTCGCACTTGTCCGATTTTATTTTTATTTTTTAATAAGTACAAGAATTGAAATTGAAAAATAAGGGTAAGAGTAAATAGAAGGTAAATTTTTTATTGATTACTTTTAATTTTTAAATATTCTATTTAATTATTAAAAATATACTTTCACAGAAAATTAAAAGGCATTAAAATAAGCTGCAACGCTTATTATTTTAATCCAATTTTGCTTATTTTAATCCATTTTGGTATTAAAATAAGCAAAATTGGATTAAAATAATAAGCGTTGCAGCTTATTTTAATGCCTTTTAATTTTCTGTGTTTCGGTAGATTATTATATGTATAGAAATTTACTTATCATTGAGGTAAATGAGGTTCATTTAAGGTAAATTTAATAAATTAATGAAAGTTAAAAAATAAATAATTCGCATTTTGGCTATAAGATTTTGCGTTTTAATTGAATTTAAATCATTTAAATTACCTAAATGAGTTAAATAAAATTATTGCTTCCTCCGCGAGGAAGCCAAATTTTTATGCAATGAACATAAAGAAACCCCTGTTTTATTTTAGAGTTATGAATACTGAATAAATAAACTTAAGGAAAAAGTCCACTTTTTCCACTTCTTATTATGTTTATTAAGTTATTTCTATAATCTACACCTAAAAATACGTAAAAATAGTAAATTTTAAGCCCTTTAGATAAAATTTTTTTCGTTATATTTTTTTGTAATCTACACGTAAAAATACGTCAAAATATATAAATTTGAATCACTTTAGATAAACTTTTTTTGTTTTTCGCGGAAAAATACATTTATTTCTTAAATTTATCATTTTTCTTCAAAAATTTGATAAAAATTGATCATCAACTCTAATCGAGCTTACACTTTTTCCCTGTATTTTTCACGCAAAAATACAATTTTACAGCAAATATGAACAGTTTGGGTTGAATATTATGTGCGCTAGGGAGAATAAATCATTTTTTTCGAAATTTTTTATTTTTCTTTGACAACGCTATGTAAATTGATCCGAATCAAGTTCGCTATATTTTTCCTGTAATTTTCACGTAAAAATACGTAAGTGTAACAAATTTGAGCTCTTTATGTCAAAAGATGTGGCTGCTAGAGGGGGGGTACATAGTCATTTTTAGGCATTTTTCGTAACAATTAATGGTTTTTCCTTGACAACGCTATGATAATCAATTCCTATCAGGTTCGCTATATTTTTCCTGTAATATACACGCGAAAATACATATGAGAGATTCTTTTTCAATCGCCCCAGCTCAAAAAGTCAATGTTCTGGGATTGGCTTCATACTTTGGTAAATTGTTGTCCTATATAATAGTAATAAATCCCTAAAATATAAACTCATTAAAAAAATATTTGTAGAAAGTAGAGGGGGTTGAAGTTTTGACGTTAAGGGTAACATTGTCATTTTCAAATCCGTATAACTATGACAAAAGTTAATGGATTTTAATTTATCTATAATGAATTTTAATGCATTTTTCACGTACTTTTCAAAAATGTATACACAATTTAAAAAAAAAATTTTTTGACCCCTTTTTTTTCAAAATCAACCCTTATTTTTCGATTTTCACCCCTTCGGGTATTTTTTTTTTTTTTTTTTTATTATTTTCATTGGAAAGCTGAGGTTTTTTCCCATGAGCTATGTAAATATGAAAATGGGACAACAATAATTTTGTGAGAAACCGAATATTAAAGCAGGCGGTGCCTACCTAAATCCTCGAAGATGATCTTTAGGTATACCCGTTATCGGCACCGCCTACATTTCAAAAAAACCGATATTAATAGGGTTCCAAACCGAGTACGGAACCCTAAAAATTCAAAAATTTTTGAAAAATTCCGAAATTATTGTAAAAATCGTTTGCCCATTATCGGGCTAGGCTTAAAAGTTTTATAAAAAGTAGTTTTTTTGAAAAAATTTTGAAAAAAATCGATCAGTACGTCAAATGAGAAAAATGACTTTTTATCATTAAAACTCATGGAAGCTAGTCTCAATTAGTACTAAAAGAAAAAAAATCTCAAAAAATCATCATATATACCAATCTTTACCCAAATCCATTAAAACATGTTAACGATATCGTGTTCACAAAAAAGATCAGGTCCTGGTTTTTGACACTTGGGATTACATAATATAAAATTTATTTTCATAATTCATACTCTAGTCAGTACTCTAATCGTTCATTTTTCTAGTAGGGTAAAGGTTAAAGTGAAACCTTCTGTTCTAACCAGCTGAAAAAACTTGTACAAGAAAATGTACATGTTCAAGTAAAGTTCTTGAACAAGTTCAGCATCCGGAATTGAGACATGTTCTTGTATGAGAACATGTACAAGATCCTGGACAAGAAAATGTGCATGTTATTGTACATATTTTTTGTGCAGGATTCATGTACAAGTACTTTTATATGAACACGTTCATGTTCCTATACAAGAACATTTGTTTAAAAATGTTTTTGAAAAAGATTTGAAAATTTAATAAGTTATAATTGTTAAAACTCTTCACTTATGTATGCTAAAAATTATACCGCAGCTGTAAAGGCTTAAAAAAACTACTGCGCAGCCTTCAAAGTTTTTAATTTTTAAATTAAAAACATAAATGAACATGTACAAGAACATGTTCCACATCTGGTACAATAAAATGTACATGAAACCTGCACAAAAAAAATATGTACATTTTCTTGTACAAGTTTTTTCAGCCGGGTATTGTATTCGGTTTAATGCGATTTTTTTTAATCTCAGGCGATTAAATTCTCATCATCATAGAGATGTAAAAAATTAATAGTAACCAAAAAAACTCAATTGATGCTACGTGCCGTGCTTTTTAATTGTATAGCGACTCAGAAGATAGACTTCTTTTTTTCTATGTTTGTGGGGATGACGAGCGTGGTGACGAGCGGCGGATAGAGCACACACACGGAGTGGAAAGGGCACAGAAGTAAGAAAAAAGAAGGAAGGGATGGAGGTTGAACACTATGAACGAGTAAAATGTTGAAAATGCCGAGGTACTATCCCGGTCCCTCCACCACAACTTCTTCGTGTCTTGAACGCACGCGCTCTCGCCTCCTTCTTTTCAAATCGCATGGAAAGTCTTCTGGCTGACTGACCGGGACCGAGAACCGAGGTTTTACCTTACTTCGGTTTTTACGTTCTTCAGGAACGTTCGAGTCACGCCGACAGCGAAACGACACTCGCCACTGGCTCGAAAACATTTCTTTTTAGAGAATATAAATATTTATTTCCAAAATTATAAATTAGGTATCAATTTTTTTTACGGTTACTTGTTTGTTTGTTTGTTCGCATAATAAAAGTGTCATCTGTTAATTTTAACGTGTAGTGACAACGTGACTCGGTCACTTATCTAGAGGATTTTACACGGGACCAGTTTAATATTGTTATCAGTTTATTCTCACTTTTTTGTTTCGAAAGTGATATGGCGCAATTGATTAGCGTCAAGTTGTCCCGATTCGACGGATCGCCTTGGGGCTTCCGACTACAGGGGGGCAAGGACTTTGGAACACCACTAATTGTCCAAAAGGTGAGTCCTGATTAAAAGACTTGATGTTTCCCTTTACACATTTTTGAAAATTAATTAATTTATTTTTTAAAATAATTTTTAAAAAATGTTAAAATAAGTCGGAATAGATTTCCTTATTTTCGTAAAAATTGGGTTGGTTTTGAAAAATCTATGTTTCTTGTTTATATTTCCTTTTAATAAACTGTTTTACAAAATATGTTCTGACATTTAATTAAAGCATAATTTTAAAAAGAACAGTTTTGCTCAATATTTTAAACTTTGAAACAGTTGAAAAATATTTATTCTATTTTCTTTAAAGGCGTACATACTTCCGTTTGCTAAGACTAAAAATAGGCACCTGTTTACAATTTTTTTCACAGCCATTTTAATATAAATTTAAAAACTTTTTTTAATTCTAAAAATACATAATTAAAGCTACAAAAAGCAAAAAATGTTTTCTTTTTTCATTGATAATTACGATTCGTAGAGGGCGCTAAAGTAAAGGGCTAAAATTTGTAAGGTTTTGCGATACCCCCTGTAGAGCCGCCCCAGACAGTCCAAAATCAAAAAACCAAAATTTTCTTTTTAGTATACATGATTACCCAGTAGACTAATATCATGGAATTAAAAAAATCTAATGTTCACAACGTTTTTGCTATAGTTTTTGCGTACATGCAGGTATATATTCGTGTATAACTTTTTAAAAAATCTGAATTTCTTCATAATATTTTACACACGGATTTTTGACATTATAAGGATTAAAAAAATGGAAAAAAAAATCGAAAAAAATTTTTTTTCAAACGGAAGTACGCCTTAAATATTAGTAAGATATTACCAGAATAACATATTATCAGCTATACTTCAAGACATTTTGAATTTCAACACTTGAGGAATATTTTTAGAATATTTTTTCAAATGAAAGTAAAATTTGAAAATTCAGATGTTCATTACATGAACATTTTGCTTCCTCATTACGATCAGCAAAAAAAATTTGCTTCCTCGTGGAGAAAGCAAAATTTTATTGCCAAAATGTGAATTTTTGAATTTTTAACTTTCATTAATTCTTTAAATTTACCTCAAATATATACTTTATATATATCGATCGATTCGTCTTGACGTAAGGAATAAAATTATTTCATATATGAACTTCAATTTAAAAAATCACAAAATTGTATTGCCAAAATGAGAATTTTTTATTTTTTAACTTTCATTAATTCTTTAAATTTACCTCAAATGTATACTTTATATATATCGATCGATTCGTCTTGACGTAAGTAATACAATTTTATATAATATAACCTTAAATTTTTCTATTTAAAAATTTTTTCGATTAAAAAAAAATTTTTGGAAAAAAGACGATAAAAATTTTTTTGGGGGTATTTTTTAAAATCCTTTCGTCAGATTTGAGATATTCATATGCTAATTGAGCCTACCAAATTTTATCTAAATCCATTAAAACCTGTTAAAGTTATCTTCTAAACAAAAAAGGGATCCACACACACATGCACACACACATACATACATCCGGACAATTGATCAGTATCTCATATAACATGTTTCTATAAAGAAAAAAATTTGTTTCCGCCACTTTGAAAAGTTTTATAAACGAAAGGACCACAAAGCTTCCTCCACGAGGAAGCAAAATTAGTTAATATAAATTAAATTCCACTTTAAACATATGATTTGGAAATCAGTCTAAAGACATAAAAATAATTCTGAGATAACAAATCTCTATATACTATTAGGTAGTTTTAATACCATATATAGAAAGCAGTGGAGGTTGAAGTTTTGACGTTTAAGTGAGGTTGTCATATTCAAAACCGTGTTACTATGACAAAACTTTACAGATTTTAATTTTCATGCAGTAAATTTTAAAACATTTTTTTCGAAAAAATTTATTTTTGCATTAATATATATATATATATATTATACGAAGTTGAAAAAATAACAGTGCTACTTGAAACGTCAATACTTCAACCTCCACTATTTTCTACAAATGTTTTTAAAATGAGTTAAGAGGACTTTCTGGTATAGAATGATCGTTGGTTTTTTATAATCGGTTATGTAGATTTCGAGAAAAGCCGTGCACCAGTTTGAAAAATGTGTTTTCGAGAAAAAGCGTTTAAAGTTTTCATAACATAATACATTGAGCCAGGACTATGAAACAATTTTTGATTACAACTTTTGTTTTTTTACATATTTTTTAGAAAACTTTGAGACAGTAATTTTATGATACTGAAGAACATTTTCAAGCAAAAAAATCGATTTTTTGGAATTCTAAACAAGAAAGTCCCCTTAAAATATTAAGCATTTGTGATTTTCAATTAAGGTAACAATTTACTTAATTTTCCAATCAATTGAATAACTTTTGTTTATTTACTATCAAGGCGAAACGATGACAGTTTTAGCGTCCGGATGACTTCCGGTTTTGAGATAAGTTTCCAAATTAGCAAAAATTTGATATCGAAATTCCCGTGTGTTTGTGTGTTTGTTATTCAAATTACGTAAGATAGAGGAGCATCCAATGCCAAATCGTTTCACGCGCATCGGCAGATATCGTTGCCAACTACGTTCGAAACAACGCGCGACAACGACCAGCCGTGTTTTGGCTAGAAGGCGCCGATGTAACTCGAGACGAACCATTTTGAGCTGGTTCTTATTCTTTCTCTACAGTGATTTATTCTCTACATGCAATAGGAGAATAAATTTCTTCTCATATATGTAAGAAATCAGAAAAATATAACTTTTTATGAATGTAAAAGCGTTTCTATATCTCTGTTACACTTTTTATTCTTTTTCATTTCAAGGAATACAATTGTGAAATTTTATTTTGACTTTCATTTCAACTTTCACATTTTGACTGACATTTTTCATTGGAAAATGAAAAAGGATAATGAAAGTTCATATCGAAGTGGAAGTAAAAATTACACAATTTTCGGTCATCCCCAAAGTTTGGGAAATTTATTTTCGAAAGTTAATGTTGGATGTTTTGGCCATCTTTAGCAAAAATACTGTTTTTTCTATTCGATACTCATTTAAACCTCATTATGCACTGAGAAAAATAATAATGTAATGTTAACAAAATAATTTGGTGGAGCACTTTTAGTTAAGATTACAAAAATTTAGTTGACATAACAGTAACGAAAGAAGCAATCAATCGAGAAATTTAGTTGGCTGTACCAAAAATTTCGTTCAAGCTTTTGCGTCTATTAACTGAATAATTTGGTTCCTCAAACCAAACCGTCTGAATGCTCAATTGCGCATGCGCTGTTCTCGTAAATATGGCTTATTTCTCTGTTTACGGATGTTACACGTTAACCATGCTTCGCTCTTCGTGTCGTCCAGTTTTATTCAAGTGTTTTCGGGATTTTTATGTGTTTCAGAAATTCGGTAAAAAAGTGTGTGTAGTGATGCATATCGAACAGAGAGAATAAAGCTTGTTAAAAGAACGGAAGTTTTTCTCCAGCCTGTATACTTTATGAAAATAATTTACACTCACATTGTCACTAGGATTCTTAGTGTAGTGGTTAGCGTTCTTGATTTGCGTTGCGTAGTCTGAGGGTTCGATCCCCAGCAGTGTTAGGTTTTTCCGCAATAGAAATTAATTTTAGTAGACATAGGGTGCTAGGTAATATAAAGCGAAAAGAATAAAAGAGGATAACAAAAGTGATAAAATTAAGTGAAAAATAAAAAATATAAGTGTGAGCCAAAAAATAATTTGGTTGAGAAAAGAAAAAAATTTTTTTCATTTAACTAAATTTTTTGTTTGCTTAAAAACAATAAGTTAGTTGTGCAAAACAAAAAATTTGGTAGACCGAACAAAATGATTCAACGAAAAAATTTAGTAGCCCGAACCAAACGGATTAGTTGCACATATATCAAATAAAAAATTTGGTTTGGAGAACCAAACTTCAGTAGATGATACCAAACAGTTTTCTCAGTGTGGTTTAACGACTTACATTCGAGTAGAAGTAGATTTTAGAAAAGACGAATTTAAAATTTTACAGAATGATATAGGAAAAGTTCCTATAAAGTAAAATTAATAAAACACTTAAATATTATTAGAGAGGTACATATTTCTTCTTATTTTGTTATTGTAGTTACAGTACGGTTAAAAAATTAAGAACCGTTAAAAAGCTTTTTTCATTTGTTTACAATTGATTGAACAAAAATAAATTCGACTTTTTTGTGAGTTTTAATCACATATAAGATCATATTAAATCAAGAGAAATTAAAATTTTCAAAAAGAAAAAATTATTTACAGAGAAACATTACTCTAGAATTTTTAAATTCTATTCTTTTCTTTATCCATTCAATTTTCAAATTATGTTTCGTAATTGATTCCAATCATTTTATTAAATTTGGTAAATTTCGTTATTTCAAATAAGTGCGCGCTATTTTGGCCTGGGCCAATCACTTAATTTAACCTAAATATAGGTTATGTTTGTTTCATCTGATTCATATAACAGCTGCAAACATTTACAATAAATAAATACTTTGCAAGTGTAGAGAAAGGTGGGGTAATAGGAGCTTTTAAATTTTGAGTAATTAGAGACTTTGAAACTGTGGGGTAATGGAAGAATTTTGTCAAGCAGCAGAGTTTCGTTTCCTCGATATGGCTTTTCTTGTTTTTTTAAAAATTGAAAAATATTTATTTATAAAATTTGATATTGTTACATATGTATTTGGGTTTAATTGTCTAAAATGTGTTATTATTGGATATTTTCACCACTTGAGCGTTATAACGTGATTTTAGATAAATCTATCAAGTATTTTATGAGAAAACCTACGGAGAACATTTACATGTGAAATTACAACAATCACATAACCTTAAACAAAGATTTAATATTTTTTAAGATTTAAATTTGAAAACAAATATTTATACTCTTTGTTTTATTCTTAATAAAATTGGTTACATATATAAAAAAATTATCTATTTATATGGACTTTTGAGGTAAAATAAAATATCGAGATATGTCAACAAAAATTGAACATGACAATTTTTATGAAAATTAATAATA